TATATTTCTTGATATCGAAGATCGTACAGACAAAAAGAAGCTTACCTTTACATCTGCAGCTATTTTTAGTTTGTTTTAGGAAAGCTTAGGCAGTCGTGTTATGTATATCTACATGGCGCGCTCGAAAATCGGGGATTTCCCGATTTCCAACAGAATCGTTTGTCTTTCTATTAATATATAGGCTTTCTATGCCATGCTAGCTCACTGTTCCTCACGTTATCGCATTCATCCTCTCGCATCTCTTCTATTCAGATTCAGTCTTGTTACATTATTATATAAAGAAACACATACAAGTATTTTTGTTTGAAGAATTTTGTTATGGTTGGCTAAAGAAACTTGACGTCAACACCAACGGCAAACGCTCCTCTTGGCTAGCTAAATGATAAAAAAAAATTTGGCGGTTTATTGACGACAATAGATATTGTGCGTCTATATATATATATCGAAGTGTGTTAACTTTTATGCATGATGTAGTTGTTACTGAAAGAAAGAGCGTCCTGGCCACGCACATATGATGACCCTTTCGATAGCGACGTTCATGCAGACAGGACTAGACGTTTTTCGGTAGGACTTCGCCATCGAAAAACACTCGGAGGATTGCACCGACCACGAATGAAAATTGTATCTGAAAGTATTGTAATACGATAAATGAACGACAATTATAGGTTACAAACGTTGACAGTTCTACGGCGATAGGCTAGAGGTAAACTTTGAGCGGAAGAAAACCAACGTTTCCATATGATTTGACATCCGTTCCAGAGATGCAGAAAGAGGAAGTGACACTCGACACTACAGGCGCACACATTGTCTATATCCAACCCACACTCTCATAGTAAAATACGCATTATCAAGTTTGGGGTTTGCATTTTCTACCTCAGCTTGAATCAATCCAGCACGTTGCTCTCGCATTGTCCGAAGCATCTCTTCGGGCCATACCGCCTTTCCGAATTCGATTAAGCACATGGCCGTTTCCATCATAATCAACACCCCTGTCCGTCCAATACCGGCACTACAATGCACGATTACGGGAGCCAGCTACACAATTGGTAAAACAGATTATAATGGAACGGAATAATTTAACATAACAAATAGGTATGTAGAAGGCAGCATTTAAGGTCTGGGATGATAGAACCCGTGTACCAATAAATGATACGTAGGGCTACTGATTATATTGAGCCAAGATCAGGCAAGGCTCAGAACGATGCTTTGCATAGGATTTTTTATGAAAATATGGCTTGCTTTTTTTTTTATTGTTATTACAGATACTCTATATAAATGATTATTAGATTTGGCGATCTTTTGCTTGGAAAAAAAAATCGCTTCCTAGACTAGTAAGCTTTTTGATTCGATTACAATGCCATAGAACCATCAGATTCTTACTGGTGCTTCAGAGCGAATATCGCGAACTAGATGCACGAAATCGATGAAGTCCCGCGAGTCACGCGGAGCTCCATGGTCAGGCCACGTAGTGTATTGAAGGTGTTTAACTAGGCGTTCTTCATTACTGGCTTCGCAACGAAGCCTGAACTGCCGAGTTATCCAGGCAGATCCCTGGGTTTTACCGGTCTGCCATACGTCCCATCCGCGAAGGCAATTCACCCTCAAAGGAGTGTCCTGATCAGGCCAGTACTTGTGACACTTTGGGGTGTTTCCCTCCTGTAGTGGGGTAAGCATGACAATCAACTGACAACCTTGTTCCAAAACCATCTGCCAAAAATCCTCGACTGTCGTCGACCTCGGACCCTGGGTTGCAATATAACGATTAATTACCTGTGTCCCCGGGATAGACATCTGTAAAGCAACCCATTAAATGAAAATTACCTCTTCAGAAACCCTTATCTTCTCTTTTCGGCTTGATTCTATCACATACTGAAATTATATGAATATAAGTAAATGGAGAGCTTGTTATCTGCAAAATTTATCCACATACCAAGCGAGTTGATGTATCGACTTGAATAACAAAAACAGGCGTAATAGTATTGTAATCATAAATAGGTGTTTCTTCATTTAAAAACCTACACAGGTAACATGCCATCCGCATCCTATGTATGTCCATCAAGTAAACTTAAGATCGTCCATTCAGTGAGCAATACACCGCTGGTACACAGGTACGTATCTATAGCCCTGACTACGAGAAGATCTAATGGCGATTCGTTTTTAGATTAAAAGAAGCTACGTACGTTTACGTAGTTGGCATTGATGTAATCGCTTTGTCCGTTGAATTCTGTTGGTGTAAGAATTACACGTGTAGAATCGTCTGCAATATGGTTAGCGGGTGTGTAAAAATTCGACAAAATCCTGATAGGGAAGAGATCGAAGACAAATGATTTTTTTGCCTAAAGTATTTCCACTCGTTGCGTCAGATAATAATACTCTGCCCCAACGAAGCACTGTGAAAGAATTTCTACGGCTAGCGCCATAGGAGAGAATCAAAGAAGCCAAGAGAAACACGACGTTTTCGAATCCGTTATAGATGCTAGTCATATGGCTATCGTTCCAATGACCACTAGAAAACAACTTACAAGCACTGATGTCACTATAACGATTCTTTTTGGGGTTTGCCAGAGACGCCTTGATCGTGCAGCCGGGATACGATCTAGGAACTCGATAATACATCGCCCTAAGGGTTTGCCTTTCTACCACACCTTGTAACTTCGCCATTGATAATTCGAGGCTACGACCCTGATCTAAAATTGAAATAGTCAATAGAATTATTCATTTTGTGATAACAGGTGAAAAATGAAAATATGGCTATCTGTTAGTTCTAAAGAGTCGGATTTAGGTCTGCATCGTTTTGACATTAAATTCAAACGAAATTTCCACTTACACGGAAGCACGACAAGAGTAACTTCAGCCCGCTGAACACAGATATTAGATAATTGCTGCACCACCTGTATTAGAAGGAAATAACAAAGAAACGCTTAAGTTGTATAGCTCGTTACACGAACAATGATAATAATAATACCTTATCTTCAAATTCTGCTAATTAGATCTGTTAACAAAGGGTCAACTTCATTGTATTTGTATCAATTTACAATTTAGAGCTGTTTATCTCAATGGGTGCCAAGAATGTACATACGCCGCTACCGTACCGACAGTTAAGCAAGTCTGATTCAAGCAACTCCTTTTTCACAGCGGAGGAGAACTGTATTCTGTCTTCGACACCACCATCTTGGCCTCGACACGTCACGTATCATCGCGCAAACAAGCTCACCTAGACACGATTATTACCAAACGAAAAAAATTTCACCAAGAAATAAAAACTTCCTACTTGACTGGTCCGATCATAGCATCATCGATGCCAATGGTCTGACTAACGTCAGGAACAACGAAAAGGGTAAGGAATCTGCGTCTGTCAGGCGAACGCGAATCGCATGTCGGCGGTGCTGATGGATGGCGCCGGCCGTTTAATAATTTGGCCATTAGTTTATGTCTGCTAGCTTCGCGTGGAGTGTGGAAGATTCCATACGCCGCCAGTGGAAACGGCTCTTCAGTAGCATCCTCCGAGCATTTCGTCACGATTGGTTCGGATGTACTGCGTTGCGCTTTCATCACGTAGTCTTAATGATTGTTTTACAGGTAGATGCTACGATGACTCACGATGGAAATAAAAACGACAGACGAGGCTACCGATAAGCCGACCGCAGTGACGGCGACGGCCAAGGAATAAGACGACGAGGCCAGCGCCCGTACATTCGAGCGCGATCTTGCAGCAGTAGTACGCGCAAAACGGGATTCAGTCAATGATGATGTCGCTCAATGCGGCGGGAGGGCGTACGGCAAAGAGCGAAGCAATAGAAAAATCAATGGTGTGGCAATGGCAGCTACGGATGAAAAAAACTGGGCGAGGAACAGCCCCGGTCACGGGGCATATTCAAAGATGTGCGCAATTGCGACCGTAAAAAACTTAGTCCACATTTTTCTGTTGACCTAAAAGTGGCCTTACTCATAACGGGAAGCGCACATGTGTATGCAAGACCAGCGGGTCGATACTCGAATATGAACCTTTGAGGTCATATTATTTCTTGTTTTATTATTATTATTATTATTCCTGAAACACTGCATATATTGAAAAAGATAGGCTTCTAGGTTTTGTAAAAGGCGAATACCTTCGAAAAACCTTCGTTTCTAATAAAGCGAACTTTCTAAATATCAATTCAACCAACTCAAAAAAACATTTTTGATTTTGGACTATTGTCTTTAGAGTAAAAAAAATAAAGGTTTTTAAAGATGTTTGATTCGAGTAACATGTCTCTATCGTTTCATACCTGTTGATGGTCAAGACCCTGCAATTGTACGCCATCAAGACTCCAAAGAAGGTCACCTTCCTTGATACGACCATGTGCAGGCGACGTCTCTTCGACGCTAACAACAGCTACAGGAAACTCTGTATCGAAACCCCCAGAGACCTTCATACCGAGTGACCTGTAAACAGAGAAGAATAAGTAAATGACAGACTATTTGTACATGTGAAAAAAATCTACAGGTACCTGATACACATCCTAATGAACTACCTAATGAAGGCGTATCCATAATTATAGCTATTTCGCTCAGACAGGACCACTTCCAGTATAAGAAAAGCCAACTCCCTACAGTTTTGCTTGTAATTTCCTTACTGTAGTTCAATTAGTTCATCAGATCTCATACATCTTTTGATGCATTTCTGGTCCCACTCGAGAAGAAGTATTCTCTGATACAAGCATCCATAATTCTTGAATCACGGTTCGAATTGAAGAAAAAATCCAACAGAAGCGGTTATCATTCAAAATATAATTCTCATTATGGAAAAAATTTACGTTCGGAAGATTTCATCGAGATCTTCCGCCTGTGGTACTTGAAAGCAAATCTTCCAATTTATATACCTAGATAAAAACAGCAGTTTAAAAAACAATAATTGATGGCGGCATGTTATAGTTAGAAATTCACGAAGTACCTAATGAAATCAGTGGACAAGAAGGCAATATTATCATTATGAAATTCCATTATGTTTTTGTGACATTTTATCATTATGACAGGTCATAAAGTTCAACTTCAACCACTAAAGCTTACGAAAGATTCGTAAAATTCGGTTCGTAAAAATCGGTAAAATATTAGGTGTGTTTTACTTGATACAAAATCAACTATTTCCAAAAGCAGAATTTTATAATATTAATGTTGTAGGAATACGTGAACAAACGGGTAAATTGGGGTGAAGTCAAATGGAAATTTTCTCCTACGCAGCGACTCATGTTGTAGAAAGTCCGTGAAAGAATCATTAAAAACTACTTTCTTAAAAAGTCGTTCCTTAATGATTGCGTGTGATAGCATTAGTTATTAAACAATTTCGACCTCTAATTAGAAGAACAACGCTATCTGCGGTAGTTATTATCTATTCTAAGAAAATAAGACGTGAACGAAGTGATTAATATATTTTAGGCAGTTTTGATCCGATCCACAGGCCCGTTTTATTACCTTGCTAATAAAATCACCATTAAACTAATTTCACTATGAAACAAACATAAATAAATAATTGTAAAGTAAATCGTTTATGTCGGCAGAAAATTTTTTTAGAAAATTGTTTTTCTTTACGTTTTAATTGCAATTTTTCTCCTTGTTACTAAAATACAATCCTTCTTCTGAGCGTCTATCAGACACGCTCTGACAATTGATCTAATTGTGCGGAAGTTATGAATCACGAGGTGCATATACAGCATTATAGCGACGGCTGTCTATCAATAAACGATGATTTCTGTCTTACTGCACCGTAATATATATTTAAAGATCTGCCCTTTTTAAAACAGGACGTTATATATTATTCGATTTATGGGGACCACTAAAAACGGTAGTACTCACCGGGGACTATGAAATCCAAAACTGAACGTGTGCGTCCGTAAAGGAGATCGTTGAGAGGTGACTCTGGGTACAGGAATCGAGCTCGGCGATGGCTGAAATTGCAAAATCATGACAGATTTATGTTCGGAGGGTGACCACAAATGGCGTCCTTCAAATGATCTATTACCGTCTATTAAAACATCTATGAAACACACTATTGACTTAAAGAATTCGTGTATAGACGAATCAATGTAATATCATCTATGGTTGCTCGCCTTTAGACTCGCCTGTATACCGAAGCACTCTGAATGATCAAGTATATACCATCGTTTGTCCTTTTTGATTAAACACTGGAACACTTCTAAGGTTTAATTGACTGAGTCGGCATCTGACCATAGTGTAATCGGAAATTCTGCCTGCGCCCTAGTATTTTTGGACGCGTCTTCTTTAATTCCTTTTTTGTAAATTCTTGTATTGCACACATACATGCGTATACGTACGTCTCTGTGCACGATTGTACGCAGCTGTGGGTTGTTGGATATTTTTCATGGATAACCTTTCTCTATTGCTCAATCTGTCTCCTGATAAGTTGCCATGCTTTCTGTCTCGCAAGGTTACCTCATTTGAACCGTCTTATACAGATGACGTCGACAACAGTGTTCGCTACAATTATCTGTTCTTCTATCTTTGACTTGTAAACAGAACAAACGACTTGAACGCGGCTCCTTATTTCCTCAATAAGCAAATCGACCAATGTCCTCAGCCACTGGGACCTTGGAAGACATAAAATTACGTTGTTACGGCTTTATCGATACCTTCGTTAATAATTATTTCTACCTAGCAATAGCACGGACTCCAAGTCGGCCCACATCTGTATTGTTGGCTGGTGTTGTTTTTCTAGCCAACCTTAAGTATAACTTCGTTTTCTTAAGAGTATATCTGCGGGTACTTCACTGCAACGAAAATCTTCTGTGCTATTATTGGGTGACGATTTATTAAGCGATGGCTCAATCTTCATACGTAGCTACAGCATGTGACATATCACACGTACCAACAGCACAAAAGTGGTTTACAAAACAAATCCTTTTTTCTATTGGCAAGCCGACTTCATAGCCGACAGATCGCATAGTGCTTAATGTCCATTTAGCACGCATAATGCTAACGATATAACGACGCTGACAATAAATTAAATCAGTAGTTTTTTAAGCACCATTTTACAACAATGTCCGACGTTGCAGCAAATTTGATGAGCCTGTCGTATGTATTTAAGTGGCCTATCGTTAAATTCTAACGGTGCCCGTCTCTTATGTGTAGTAATCTTTCGTTGGGGTTATTTCTACTAAATATGTTGTAGTATATGAATATGTCCTTGAAGGAATACTGGCCGACGCTAAAAATACGTATTGCACTTAAGCTAATAATCGTTTTACGGATTTTTCCGTCACTGGATAGATCATCGAAGAACGGGCACTTTACCAACTAAATACTATTAATTAGCGTATTTATAGCCAAGACATGCTATCTCGTTCCCTGCGCTCATCCATCGTGGAACGCAGCAAAATATAGTAAAACGATGATCTACAGGGGAGTAACGTGGTCCGGGACAGAATTAAGCACAGAGCACGCTATTATTAGCCTACTTAACACCCCCCCCCCCCGCCCCCGAATCGCCTGACAAGTATGCGCAACGGTTTTGCAATGAGTGATTGTTTTTAAATTACGATGCTGCATTTTTTTTTAAATGAGTTTGTTGAAAATGACACGAATAACGAAAATAACGCTTATGTTAACCGAAATTGACTAGGCCGTGCCTTCATGTGCTCGATATGGTGATAACATAAAGCTGTAGAACCGTGTAGCTTTTCTTTTTCTTTTAACATTAACAGTAAACTCCAACTGTAGAGATCGTCGCCTTTAAAACCACAGAGCTGCTTTGATAATAACTAGATTAACGTTCTTCTTAATTACGATGCACGGTATTTAGCTCGTATGAGCTAGTTCTGTAATGATACTAATCTATGTCTTAATACTATCAACTGTATTGTTAAAGTTATAGTACTATTATTACTGATATCGTCCTTCACTGTCGACACGGTTCCAAGCTATGGGAGATGAGCATGCTTAAGAGACGAAAACTCATCTATTCTTCATGGAAAACCGTGGCCTAAAAGAGTAATTTACCACTTATCATTAACGAAAAAAAAAAAAATAGATTCACATCTTTCCAGCAGTTGTGTTCCTTTTTCCTGCGACGTCTCCTCATTTAATGTCTACTGTGCGATAAAATAATACTTGGACCAACTGACGGGCAAACGGAAAAGGTGCTCAAATGACATCAGAGGCCACAGAATTGATAGCCTCGATGTTGACGCCAACCTATTATTACGCTGCCGTAACGAAGAGGCGATATGTCCTATCGCCCACAAGCTTAACTGCATAGCAGGATCTGATCAATGGTGTCGATGGCGTCTTTAACAAAAAAAAATGGCCCTGTCCTGCCATTGTGGCTACAGGCTCACATTCGTGCCATCTGTGACACTGATAACGCTAGAACTTTAAAACGACAGGTAGCGACGACAGCACGCGCAATACCGGCATCAAAAGTAAGCATAATCTTCCCAATTTTTCGCGGGCTTCCGTGACGACAACAATATTGTCACCTAGAGCAGCTGTAAAAAATAACAGCCCGGGAAAAATTTAACCCAAATATGAACTGTTTGTTCGATCGATCAGCCATAGGAAACTTATTCATCTGATAATAATGACAAACGAAAATGATGCTTTTGAGTAAATATAAGTAGCTTAAGTATGAACATAACGGCAACCACAATGATAGCACAAAACGCACCCTGTTATATTTCTCTGTTGCTATTAACTCTCGCACCTACAGCACACGGATAGATCCATATAAGCCAACTTTAATGTTTTTCTCATCTATGTTATTACCATTATATATATATATGTATGTATATATTATATATATGAAGACGCTGGTGACCCGGACCGACATTACACTATACGTATTGTTATACGTAAAATATAATTATAATACAAATGGTCACTTCCAAGTTTCGAACGGGACGCACAACGATCACGCATCACGCTTACATACGTCGGCCGACATTATCGTTATTTTTATTTGTAGGTTGCCTAAAACGAGACACTGCAAGATGCTGAAGGAACAAATAACAATAAATATGAAAGAAATGGTGTACGTTTTGAAAAAAAATGCTACATAAAGTTTAATGCTGAAAGTTATATATATATATATATACAAAAGAAATAAACTACCCGCCAATATTTTCTATTTTTTACTTTTTTTTTTTAAATTTTATCTATACTTTCCCGAATGGCTCCCTACAGCAAAGTATACAATTATAAATCTTACTTACAGAAAATAATTTTAGGGATTACGTTACGCTATTATAAGCGAATATCGCGAACTTTGAAACTGAGTAACTTTTAAACTAGCTGGACTAGAATGATGATTTGCGTTAGAGATACTCTTCTTCATTTTATATACCTATCCCAGAGTTCTGACAGCTTCTAAATAGCCATACACCCACCGTTCGCACTCCCATATCATATCTATGGTTGTCCATCTGTGGCTTTTCGAAGTAAATCGATATGTTGGCCCACTAGTCGCCGTTTCGGGTCATGGAAAGTACGGGATTGAGATCAGGAGGAAAAACGAATTGGAGTCAAAGTTTAATAGTATTTTCCTTAATCCAGGAAGTAGTTGAAGCATGAATATGAAATCCGGTATTGTCATCAGGTAACTATACTTCATAGTTTCGACTATTGTGGCAGCGGGTCACGAGTCTCCTAGGGATGGACATTGAAGTAGCGCACTACCTTCACTGCTTCATTTTCGGTGATCTAGCAAAAGCCTCTGATATCCAATGTAAAAACTGTTATACTCAAGCCAGGACCTACTCGACGCTGGTACCAAACTCGATTTCATCTGCATACGGCCCCATTCTCTAGCCTGATATCTCTTCTATTAGCGGTAGAGATTGAACCCTGCCTCGTTAATATGGCGACCGGATTTTTTTTTGTATTGATTTAAATTGGAGCACCTGATGTATCTCTAAGAGGCCTAGAGTCAACCCATGGACAATAGGATTTCTACTCAGGTTCCGCATTTTGAATTACCTGAATAATATTTCTATACCACGTCACATATGAAATGCTAGTTGTGACCGATAGAGTTTTAAGCGACAAGCTCTGCTTTCGTGAAAGGCTGCCTTGATCGCCTGTGGTCATCTCCTCGCTGGTCTTCACTATCCCAATTACTGTTCTTGCGACATTTACGTGCTGTGTTTCCGGCCTTCTTGCATAACGTCTCCATCAATATTTGAGTAATTTCCATTGCGCTGTAGCCTTCCAGGAACAAGAAGATGGCCACTGAGCTTTTATTTTCAAGGTTGCCGAACTCTTCCGAACTAACTCAACGGGTTTTCTCTTGCAAGTCTTTAGAAGACTGGAATATTTACCCATTTCATTTGGTGTTCTTTTTGACTAGTATATCATTAAACCTTTAATTTACTGTCGACATAGACGTTTCTAATTAAACTTCATTGTTAAGTTTACTGTTTTATTCTGCGTAAATGCTAATGTAACTCGTATATCCGTTCTGGTTCATGAGATTTAAGGCATAATGCCCATTCGTGTAATTGGTTCATACTTCACCTGCTGGATATTTACAACTTATTTACCTTACCGTCTATCAATTATTTATAATTGTGTAATAATAATGGTCACACCACGACAGCTGTTTCAAAAGCGATTTCTTTTGCAATATATAGGCCTTGTAAATATTCAACGCAGTAAAATGACAGACAAAGTGTTTGAAGCACGAGACGGCAATAAGTAAATATCATTACAAATAATGGTATGAATTTGTTTAGTAATCATTAAATTGACCAGTGTTCGGTGTTTGGTCAGTTTCTACTAGGGCTACGATAGGGAGGACCGTTCAGTTTAACATGCAGAAATTTTCATGTCTGCCTAAATTAGAAATTATTTAATGTGTATAATGTAAAATCAAGTTTCAGGCAGAATCTAGCATAGCTGCATTGCCCGCTGGCTAATAATTTTGAATGTGGCGCTT